AACCTAATTTCGCCTTCTATAATGGCTTTAATAAAAAAAGGCATTGCATCCTCGGTACCGAGGGTACGAGGGTGCACAGCCGCATCATAATCCTCTACCTCTACATTCGGTGGAACGTCGTACCTAACTCTAAATCTATTAATTTGTTCACTACCTTTTACTTTATACTTCCCTGGTCTCGAGGTACTAGCCTGAGGCAGAACGACGACGAGGCATGTTCAAGAAGTGATAAAAATAAAGGGGGTTTTTCCACAAAGATCCCCAAGAAGGCTTCCCGGGGGTCGATCGCTGGATGGCAACCAAAAAACACCTCCGGTAATCGAAAAACCAAAAGAGACAGAAGGGCAAAGAAATGGAGGATACTGGAACTCACCAGAGCGTAAGAAGAGGTATTTTCTGGAAAACTTGAATCGATTCCTTCCCAGAATGTTCAGAAACAAAGGATGGGTCTGCTTGCTTTGAAGTTTCAGTGAAAAGGTTGGACAGTTAAGAGACAGAAGAGAAGAGGTCTCCGGCGAAGATTCAGGCAAGGGCTCTCTGGAAGAAAAGTTCAGAATGACGAAATGAGAAAAAGAGGGAGGAAGCCCATTTATATAGTACCGGTCTCATCATTGGGCGCGAAATACAAAAGGACGCATTTAATGCGCACGACTCCCTAAGCAAGGGAAAGTGGCTAGAGGCAATGATGAAGCAGTTGAGGTTGTTGGGAAACCCTTCGTCTCCTTANGAGGAAGCCCATTTATATAGTACCGGTCTCATCATTAGGCGCGAAACACGAAAGGGTGCATTTAATCCGCACGACTCCCTAAGCAAGGGAAAGTGGCTAGAGGCAATGATGAAACAGTTGAGGTTGTTGAGAAACCCTTCGTCTCCTTACGACGTGTGTCCTCGGCGTCAGAAGATCAAAGGCTGGGGAGCAGTTGATGGGACTTTTCTGAAATACTCAAAGATAAAGACACGTGTCCTCGGGCGTCACTAAAAATCCTGTTAACTGAGATCACGTACCATCGGCTTATAAATCCCTCGCCCCGAGGTGCTTGATACGTGTCGAGTACGTTTTACGAACCGACACGTATCCTCGGTCTAATATGGTACCTCAGTCTTGTATTGTACCTCGGTCATCATGTACGGCTTTCCCTCGGCTCGAGGTGTACCTATCCTCGGTACCGAGATGTGCATTCCCTCGGTACCGAGATGTACCCCGTCCAAGATACTTTTTTCTCTGCTCCAGTATAAGTTATTGATGTACAGGTCACTAGCCTAAGCTAGTCTAGGTTAGCTATCATGGTCTCGTCTTACACAATTGGTGTCAGAAGGAATAGGAAGGCATGGTCCACAGCCAATGAGGGATGGACGCGTGGCAAATTGTGTCACATCAGAGACAGAAAAACCGCATGCCCTTACTGACACGCGACTTGGGAAAGCAAACATTTAATTACACTATTCCATTGATGAGACCGCATTCAATGCGGTAAGGCTCGGAATTGAAAGNCTCGGTCTAATATGGTACCTCAGTCTTGTATTGTACCTCGGTCATCATGTACGGCTTTCCCTCGGCTCGAGGTGTACCTATCCTCGGTACCGAGATGTGCATTCCCTCGGTACCGAGATGTACCCCGTCCAAGATACTTTTTTCTCTGCTCCAGTATAAGTTATTGATGTACAGGTCACTAGCCTAAGCTAGTCTAGGTTAGCTATCATGGTCTCGTCTTACACAATTGGTGTCAGAAGGAANCCCCATAATTATTCTGAAGACATTAAGGCAACACTGCCCGGGGAAGAGGTGGAAATAGGAGAGGAACTGGAGAAGTAAAGGGGGTNGGACCCCCATAATTATTCTGAAGACATTAAGGCAACACTGCCCGGGGAAGAGGTGGAAATAGGAGAGGAACTGGAGAAGTAAAGGGGGTAAAGGGAATCTAATTCTGCCTTCTATGATGGCTTTGGTATAAAAGGGCATTGCACCCTCGGTACCGAGGGCACGAGGGTGCACAGCCGGATTATAATCCTATATGTCTACATACTGTGGGATGTTGTACTTGACCTTAAACTTATTAATTTGCTCACTACCCTTTACTTTATATTTCCCTGACCCCGAAGAATTGGCCTGAGGATTCTCGGGGGCAGGGCAACGACGAGGCATCTCGAAGAAAGTGAGAAAAAGTGGAGGATATTTTTTCCTTAAAGGTCCCCAAGGAAGCTTTCCGAGGATTGGTCGCTAAGTGGCAACTAGAGACACCTCCAGTTATCGAAAAACTAAAAGGGACAGAAGGACGAAGAAAGGAAAGATACTGGGACTCACCAGAATGTAAAAAGAAGTTTTTTCTGGGAAATTTGAAGCGACTCCTTCCAGAATGTTTCAGAAGCAAGGATGGGTCTGCTGGCCTTAAAACTCCGGTGAAATGGTTGGACAGTTGACAACGGAAGGAAAGGGATCTCCGGCGAAGTCTCCGGCAAGGGCTCTGTGAAGAAAAGTTCAGAACGATGAAATGAGAAAAGAAAAGAGGAAGCCCATTTATATATAGTACCTATCCCATCATTGGGCGCGAAGCACGAAAAGGTGCATTTAATGCGCACGACGTCCTAAGTAGGGAAAAACGGCTAGAAGCAATGATAAAGCAGTTGGGGTTGTTGTAAAACCCTTCGTCTCCTTACGACGCGTGTCCTCGGTGTCAGAAGATCGAAGGTTGGGGGCAGTTGATGGGACATTTCTGAAATACTCCGAGATGAAGACACGTGTCCTCGATGTCATTAATCCTTGTGACCGAGATCACGTACCCATCGGGTCACAAGTCCCCTCTCCCCCGAGGTATTGATCATGGGGATCGAGTGGCATCCAGTACGTTTTTATGTACCGACACGTACCCTCGGTCTGATATGGTACTTCGGTTGCTAGGCCTCCCCCTCTCGGCTTCAAGATGTACCTATTCCTCGGCTCCGAGATGTACCTATTCCTCAGCTCTGAGATGTACCTCTTCTTGGGTACCGAGATGTACCCCCCTCGTCCAGGATGCTGTTCTCTGCTCCAGCAGAGGCTATTGATGCACTGGTCACTAGCCTAGGCTAGACTAGGTTAGCTATCATGACCTCGTCTTACACAATTGGTGTCAGAAGGCACAGGAAGGCAGGGGCCACAGCCAATGGGGAATGGACGCGTGGCATATTGTGTCACATCAGAGACAGAAAGACCGCATGACCTTGCTGACACGCGACTTGGGAAAACAAACATTTAATTACATCATTCGCTTGATGAGACTGCATTCAATGCGATAAGGCTCAGAAGTGAAAGGCAATAAATGTCTCTAAGGCTGGACATTTATTGCATCCTCCCCGAGAGGAGCTCATTGAACCGTCGGCAGGCCGATGACACAGTCTTGATTGCTCGGGGTCCCGAGCAGTTAAGAGAGAAGACATTCCTCATAGGAATCAGTGCGCACGTTGCCTGTATCTAATGATCACCTACTGACCACACTGACATCAATCATGAGTATTTGAGGTATAAATACTCTTCACTAAAGGCAAGGAAAGGAGGTGAAACTTTTGCTACAAATTATACTCAGTGTTTTCTTCTTCCTCTCTCTCAAAAATTGACTTGATCGTCGGAGGGGATACGCCGGAAAACACTCCGGCGCCCTTCTAACTTGTTTTTCTTTGTTTCAGGAACCTTTCTTCAGCCTTACTGGATCGTTCCTTTGATCCGCGAGAATCTCCCATTACCGTTACAAGTTACCACCAGATCTCACAGGCTGTTCCAAACAGCGTGGTTAACCACTCAACTGACTCACTCGAGTTTACCAAGAGAGAGATCTGTTCTCGCTTTTATATTGTGCAAGATCTAACACGCACACACTGTATTTTTTTGAAATTTGAAAAGGATGAAGATAAAGAATAAATAATTTTTTGACTTGCAATCAAAGAACTAATAGCATACTTATGAATAGGAAGAAGACAATGATCAATGCATATGCCACTTCTCTCAGAGCACAGCTTCTTGCATGAAAGTGACGAACAAATACACACCCACACATGAGAATATTAGCGTGAAGCCATGAGTGTATGACCTATCTGGAACATGAGCGTATGAACAGTAGAGTGAGAATTATTTATGTATAGGGTATATCTAGTGGGGTGAAAATTGTGTATTTAATAGTTTAACGGGGTGGATAGAGATGTAGTGCGTTTAGTTTTTAATGGGATGTGTATAGATAAAGTGAGTTTAGTAGTTTAAAATTGAAAAATTGAATGTGGTTGAAAAGGATATTGCACCAGTGAACCCCGCAATAATAAAAATTAAACAACTTAATGATAAATGGAGTTATTTATGATAAATCTTTAACTCTCTCACAATTGGAGTTAGATTAATGTTTCAATAATGTTATTTGAATCTAATTTACTTATATAATTTACTAACCTAATTCATCACAACTATTAGGCCACTGGCAATTGAATTATCATGAATAATTAGGCCAATAAATTAGTTTTATAAATTAGTCCAAGTAGTATTGCTCTAAAACAAAAGAACTTACAGAAGACCCAGTTATTCATTACACAAACATTACACAAATGTTTAGCCCCTACGACCATACCATGATTATAACTCTAGGAAACTTTTATTTTACACTAATGCTATTAGGACAAATGAACATACAGAAGACCAAGTTATTCATTACACAAACAGTATACAAATGTTTAGCCTCTACCACATGTCATGATTATAACTCCATGAAACTTCTATTTAAAATAATGTTATTGGAATATAATTGAGGGAAATAATTTAGAAATATAATAAATTATGATCGATGAATTAATAGTGGAATGCATTTCACTATAATACATTGATCACCATACATTATGTCTCTAATTATATCTATAAATTATATTTCAATAACATTACTGTTTATTTTATAATCACTTGTATGTTTTTTTTTCCCCTCTCTTGTGTCCCTTGCCGATACTTAGAAGAAGCATTGGGAGAGCACACATCAAACTTAACCCATCACCTTCGTTTCATATGAGAATTCACCACGTTCTTCAAGCAATCTAGCTGCATATAAACATGCATGGCGAGCCTATCAGAATTGCTAATTAAGCTGTATTGGCCTTACTGGACCCCTTCTTTCTACTTCTATTCTTGTTACCAGTTGGAATATTGTTGTTGCTAGCCCCACAGACGATGGTGAACTCAAACCCGTATGCATTGCCAAAGCACGAAAACAACCCTCCTCCATCCGAGTGCCGCCGTGAATGAGCACTAACTGGCTGAGGTTTCTCTCCACGACGACCATACCTTGGTGGCACAACCGTCCTCCACCTCTCAATATCTGTTTTCAACCCTTTGGCCTTAGCTTCTTCCACCGTCAGCTCCTCCAATATTGAATTCCCCACTTCATTTACCTCTCCCCTTATATGCAAGCCCTTCGACGTTGACGCCACCTGAGCATATGACCCTTTTGCAATTTCTGCTGCCACAATTGACGCCGATGGTCCAACGTCGGAGCACAGTTCTAAATCGTTACATGTCGACCCGTTTATTATCGACCCGTTGCATATTGACCCAGATTTCATAGGGAATTCTTCATGGGTTATATCGGTGCCTAAACTCAAAGACCTCCAGAATTGGATTTTTTCATTTATTTGCTGCACTTTCTTCTCCTCTTGATTGTCTTCATTCTCCTGAAGACTCTGTATATTAACTTTTTTTCCCATTTCAACATCAAGAGGCATACTTCTCCTGGTGCTGTCGAGAAGCAAAACACCCATGTTGAGTATTCCTTGAGGACAACCAGATGGTCGGCGAATCTGGAGCGCAAGAAATCTGATGCCGGAGTCGTTTTGTGGCCGAGCCGCTGACGAAATGAGATTATGGATCAGAACGTGCACAGTTCCGACCAGGACATGGCGGAGCCACGAGATTGTGTAGATCTCGACGGTGATTGCCGAGGTATCAGAGCAGAGGAATTCATCGTCGACACGAAACGCAAACTTTTCGTTCCAAGCAGGGTTAATGTGGCCTTTTTGATCGATGGACGTAGTTAACTTGCGATTGGGATCGATCCATCCGACCGCGTAGGTTCGCATGGATTTGGATACGGGTGCAAGGTCTTGGGCCGACACGAGACTGATCTCAAGGATGCGGAAGGGAAGAGACTGATGAGAAACTGAAGAGGTGGTAACGGTGGAGGAAGCAGGCGGTGTTGGGATGGTGGGGCCCATTTCGCCGTCCGCGGTAGGGACGACGCAACAGGGGCTGGCATCAACAGAGGAGGAAGGGAGAATGTGAGTCCATTGTTCATTTGGGTGTTGAAGGTGGCGGGATGTTAGGGAAGTTCGTTTCGTATGATATATTTGGACCACGATTTTTCCGCGATGCATTGTGTCAACGGATGGGGTTATTCTATAGGATTTTTCATATTTTGTATGTCGAAAGATATTTCGATTCATATTTTGCACTTAAAATTTTTTTTTTTTATATTACACCTTAAATGTTATAAATTAGTTTCAATGTAGCTCTATAACTAACATCTGCTTCAAATTTCATTAAAAATTAATGCATATGCCGCGGAACAATATGAATAATGAATTTATATTTTTGTCCAAGAACAACATATGAGAATGACATATGCATCAATTTTTAACAAAATTTAAAACAGATGCTAGTCTGAGAGCCACATTAAAACCAATTAATGAAATCCAGGGTATTACGTGAAAAAAATAATCTTTCAGAATGCAAAGTAGAAATCAACACATTTTTGGGGTTCAAAGTGCCAAAAACCCTATTCTATATTGGGTGATTTTATTCCCGGCCTATAAATATTTTATTTTAGGAGATTTCACGAGAGGTACACAGTCATGTATTTTTAAGATAAGAGATTCAACTTGAACACTTTTAAAGTAAGAGATCTATTAAATTCGCAATTGACAAAAATACCNAACAGAGGAGGAAGGGAGAATGTGAGTCCATTGTTCATTTGGGTGTTGAAGGTGGCGAGATGTTAGGGAAGTTCGTTTCGTATGATATATTTGGACCACGATTTTTCCGCGATGCATTGTGTCAACGGATGTGGTTATTCTACAGGATTTTTCATATTTTGTATGTCGAAAGATATTTCGATTCATATTTTGCACTTTAATTTTTTTTTTTTTTACATTACACCTTAAATGTTATAAATTAGTTTCAATGTGGCTCTATAACTAACATCTGCTTCAAATTTCATTAAAAATTAATGCATATGCCGCGGAACGATATGAATGATGAATTTATATTTTTGTCCAAGAACAACATATGAGAGTGACATATGCATCAATTTTTAACAAAATTTAAAACAGATGTTAGTCTGAAAGCCACATTAAAACCAATTAATGAAATCCAGGCTATTACGTGAAAAAAATAATCTTTCAGAATGCAAAGTAGAAATCAACACATTTTTAGGGTTCAAAGTGCCAAAAACCCTATTCTATATTGGGTGATTTTATTCCCGGCCTATAAATATTTTATTTTAGGAGATTTGACGAGAGGTACACAGTCATGTAACTTGAACACTTTTAAAGTAAGAGATCTATTAAATTCGCAATTGACAAAAATACTTTTAATGAAGGAAGCTATTTAAAAAACTTTCACCATATCTCAACACCACCATCCATCACCACCGATAGTAAACTCTATGACAATGAACTCAAAGATAGCGAACTAAAAACACTACCGGCCTTTATTTTTCTAAAACGATTGTTTGATATGTAGAATTTAAATGAGATTTAATTGTGTTTTATGAAATTTTTAATAGATCTTTANATAGTAAACTCTATGACAATGAACTCAAAGATAGCGAACTAAAAACACTACCGGCCTCTATTTTTCTAAAACGATTGTTTGATATGTAGAATTTAAATGAGATTTAATTGTGTTTTATGAAATTTTTAATAGATCTTTTTTTAGATTGATGAATTTTAGATGATTATCCTGGTTTGATTTTGTGAACTAATACAGTGAACCAAAAGAAAAGACCATTGTCCCAAAGAGAAGAAAAAGAATCTGTAGATCAATAACAGCATACGCTTGATCAAGAGTTATTACTCTAATTCTAAAGATGACCATGAGCATATCCCCAAGCAGGGATCCTGCAGTTCTTCCAATAGGCAAGAACGGGACAACGGGGAAAACTACCAACACCCAGAAGAAACCAAAGGCAATTGAAGAACCACTTTCACAATAGGAGCCATAGCCATCTTTTACCACTTAATAAAGACTAAAACTCTTCGACAGAAGGAAAATTGTCAAATAAACATTACTAAGGCATATGAAGTACGAAAAACAACACAAGTACTACAAGATCATCGCATCCATTCCATTGGGCCAAGCTTTCCATGAATTTCAAGATTCTAAATGATAACAATTAATAGAATTTAACCCATCATATGAGTATCATACGCAGTACAAAACATCTGCATTCAATTCCCATCGAACCCCAAAAGCGAGGTATTAAAGCTAGTGAATAAGTGATTACAGCCAGTTAAACCGCTAAATTTGCTCAAGTGACTCAATACCGGAATCAAAGGATCTCATCAATTGGCATTGCCAGTTGAGTTTGTGTTGGAGATTAATCGAATGGGAAATAAGAGAGAATTGCAAGAAATAGCAGCAAGGAGAGGAAATTCCATCTTCGAAGAGCGAAAATAATCCGACAAGTGTTGCTAATTTATGCTTTGGAAGCTCTAAACATCTGGATGACTTGGAGGATGACGTCGGCAGAGAAAGAATGCTGTTTTTGGGGTTTTAATATTCATATTCACATGGGGGCATTCTGATAATAAATAAAAAATNGAATGCTGTTTTTGGGGTTTTAATATTCATATTCACATGGGGGCATTCTGATAATAAATAAAAAATGATATAATTAGTTTGGACCGGAGAACAAAAAGGTTCAATTGAACTGTGTCTTACACCTTGGAAAATATAGGCTTGAAGTTATTGAAAAATTAGGTATCGAATTTGTAGTTTTGAACCATTCACTTATTTTTATCCCATTAAAATTTTTACTATTAAATTATTAAGTTCTTCTTTTTTATACTTGCTCTATTATTAATTGATGATACCTACAGAAAATACACAGTTCAAACAGGTCTGTAGCACAACTGATAGATCGGATGACTTGACCCATTAAGATCCAGGTCAGTCAAGGCATGAGTCTGCTCCTACCAAGGCAGTTCAGTAGCCATTGAAGTAGCTCGACTTACTTTGGAAAAAGGATAGAAGAGGAAGTACAATATCAAATCTTACAAGGTAAGAAGTCACCATCTCTAGAATGCCATGACACGACTTCTAGAATGCTACATTATACCTNCATCTCTAGAATGCCATGACACGACTTCTAGAATGCTACATTATACCTAGGGGAGATACCTTCTGACGACCAAATATTCTGACAAACTATAGGACCAAACGATCATTGCTTGAGGACCAGATTACCCTAGTGTATCAATCTGCAGGCCCTTGCCTTGCTACAAGATATAGGCAATGGTATTCTCAAGTGTGTAAANGGAAAAAGGATAGAAGAGGAAGTACAATATCAAATCTTACAAGGTAAGAAGTCACCGTCTCTAGAATGCCATGACACGACTTCTAGAATGCTACATTATACCTAGGGGAGATATCTTCTGACGACCAAATATTCTGACAAACTATAGGACCAAACGATCATTGCTTGAGGACCAAATTACCCTAGTGTATCAATTTGCAGGCCCTTGCCTTGCTACAAGATATAGGCAATGGTATTCTCAAGTGTGTAAATATTTTCTTCCCTAAGTAATACAAATCAGAAGAACAAGAGCCTCCATTTTAGTGGACTAGTCTAACTTTCAACTTGGTGAACCACTTATTTTCTTGTGTTCTTGTTTATTGTTACATTGTTCAAACACACACAACTCATTCATTAACTCATAGACCTCGTCTAGCTCTCACAGTTCATACTTCTCAATTTCGTATGCTATCAGTTTGACGCCATCTGTGGGAATGATTGTCATCGTTTTATCTCAAATCCTTCCTATTTGATTAATGGTTCTCATTAAAAGAATGAGCCAAAATCCAGAACATCATCAATGAGTACCGGCACCCCCAGCTCCTACTTCCAATTCACCTTTAGTGGAGGAGCCAAAGACTTACCAGTTACAGGAGGGGGAACCTGATATAGATCTTCCCTTACAATTATACACGTAGAGACCAAGACACTATACCTAGAGGTGAGGTTGAATAGGTTTTTCAATATTAGTCCAAACTGATTACAAATTAAAACCTATGTCTACCACAATTACCTCTTCCATAAAGATGAAGTAATGAATGTGAGAATCCCTTTAGCCACCACAACACTTAACACACATAATGATTGATTAAATTATTATTCAATTTAATTCATTCTTAATCAATCTCACATCAATCCCAAATTCCCAAACCCAATTGCACAACTATGAATGATATAATATCAAATAATCAAAATATTAAATACATAGTGCACATGTGTGCTAACAAATGAAAGTGTGTACAATAATAATAAGAGACAAGCAATTTGTTAACGCGAAAAACCCTCCTTGGGAAAAATCGAGGAAACCTCGATGGGTTCACCAAAACCTAATCCACTACTCTCCAAGTCAACATACAAGTACTCGAGAGTTATACCTCAACCAATACCATGGTAAGACGGTCATTTCCTTGCAATGTCTTTCTGCCAAAACTCTCTCTCTGACTTTTGGTGTAGCTTCACTTAGATCTATCCGCCGCATGGTTTGTCTAGGTCTCGAGCAATTATGGGCATGATAACTATCATCAATATGAACACACAAATGAGTCTGTTTAACTAACAAGTTCTTCAACACCAATGGGTTTATTCAACCAATAAGTTCTTTAATATCAATTTGTGAGGTTGGGTATAATCACTAGTGGTAGCCTTTGAAAATTAGGGACTTAGGTTGTGGTGGAAGCTCTCAAGGTATACAAATAGTTTTCTTTCTTAGAAATCTCACAAGAGGCTTAACCTAGGTTTGGNCTGCAGGCCCTTGCCTTGCTACAAGATATAGGCAATGGTATTCTCAAGTGTGTAAATATTTTCTTCCCTAAGTAATACAAATCAGAAGAACAAGAGCCTCCATTTTAGTGGACTAGTCTAACTTTCAACTTGGTGAACCACTTATTTTCTTGTGTTCTTGTTTATTGTTACATTGTTCAAACACACACAACTCATTCATTAACTCATAGACCTCGTCTAGCTCTCACAGTTCATACTTCTCAATTTCGTATGCTATCAGTTTGACGCCATCTGTGGGAATGATTGTCATCGTTTTATCTCAAATCCTTCCTATTTGATTAATGGTTCTCATTAAAAGAA